GTGATGTACTAACGTGATGTATACTAACGTGATATAGATTGTATACTAACGTGATGTATACTAACGTGATGTAGATTGTATACTAACGTGATGTATACTAACGTGATATAGATTGTATACTAACGTGATATAGATTGTATACTAACGTGATGTATACTAACGTGATATAGATTGTATACTAACGTGATGTAGATTGTATACTAACGTGATATACTAACGTGATATAGATTGTATACTAACGTGATGTATACTAACGTGATGTAGATTGTATGCTAACGTGATGTATACTAACGTGATATAGATTGTATACTAACGTGATGTAGATTGCATACTAACGTGATGTATACTAACGTGATATAGATTGTATACTAACGTGATGTAGATTGCATACTAACGTGATGTATACTAACGTGATATAGATTGTATACTAACGTGATATAGATTGTATACTAACGTGACGTAGATTGTATACTAACGTGATGTATACTAACGTGATATAGATTGTATACTAACGTAATGTAGATTGTATACTAACGTGATGTATACTAACGTGATATAGATTGTATACTAACGTGATGTATACTAACGTGATATAGATTGTATACTAACGTGATGTAGATTGTATACTAACGTGATGTATACTAACGTGATGTATACTAACGTGATATAGATTGTATACTAACGTGATGTAGATTGTATACTAACGTGATGTATACTAACGTAATGTAGATTGTATACTAACGTAATGTATACTAACGTGATATAGATTGTATACTAACGTGATGTATACTAACGTGATATAGATTGTATACTAACGTGATGTAGATTGTATACTAACGTGATGTATACTAACGTGATAGAGATTGTATACTAACGTGATGTAGATTGCATACTAACGTGATGTATACTAACGTGATATAGATTGTATACTAACGTGATGTAGATTGTATACTAACGTGACGTAGATTGTATACTAACTTGATATAGATTGTATACTAACGTGATATAGATTGTATACTAACGTGACGTAGATTGTATACTAACGTGATATAGATTGTATACTAACGTGATATAGATTGTATACTAACGTGACGTAGATTGTATACTAACGTGATGTATACTAACGTGATATAGATTGTATACTAACGTGATATAGAATGTATACTAACGTGACGTAGATTGTATACTAACGTGATGTATACTAACGTGATATAGATTGTATACTAACGTGATATAGATTGTATATATATTAAATCTAGTTATAAATACTGATCTCGGTATATAACGCTCACACTGGTATTCTGCTCTCACACATACCCGCCAATTCATGAACAAATTCGCACTGGTCTTTCACCTAGCCATCCGGAGTAGGATTCCTCATTCAAAAAATGGCGGTACAAAGGTATGGGGTCACCTGCCCGATTTTCCCCGTGTAGATATTGGATCTTGAATAATCTTTACCATTTTTAGCATTGGCGAGTAAACGTTAAAACCTCGAGACGAATTATTACATTATTAAGAAAAAAAGTACTTTTAAACAAATCTGGAAAATCTGGAGGACGATTTCAAACGGTGGCAGCCATTTTGTTACGATATTTTCTACTTATGACGTAACGTCATTATTCATCACTTGACGTCACAATCGATTGACACACTCTAGAGTATATAACACAAGTGACCTATTCACTGTATGGCAAGCGAAATATGTAATCAGAGAAAATATATATTATATACATTAACTGGTGGTAGACAAGTGAGAAGGAACACTGGTATTGCATCTCTAATCGTCAGTTAATGAACTTTTCAGAAGTGGTACGGCTTGGCTTTATTTCGATTTACATAGCGGATTTCATCAAGAGGGTGCAATATAAAGCAAAAGATATTAGTTTTTTTATAGTAACACGAGAAGGCCTCAAATAACCCATTGAGGGATATCGGCGTCATCCGAAACAATAAGAATAAAGTACTTTTCCCAAGAACACCATAACGACAATAATCTCGGACGGGTAGGGTTAGGATCACATTCTCCAGATCTTCACCTGAGATACACGACCGTCTCGGGTAGAGACAGAAACACACAACCTAGATCTTCACCTGAGATACACGACCGTCTCCGGTAGAGGCAGAAACACATAACCTTGATCTTCACCTGAAATACACGACCGTCTCGGGTAGAGACAGAAACACACAACCTAGATCTTCACCTGAAATACACGACCGTCTCGGGTAGAGACAGAAACACACAACCTAGATCTTCACCTGAGATACACGACCGTCTCCGGTAGAGGCAGAAACACATAACCTTGATCTTCACCTGAAATACACGACCGTCTCGGGTAGAGACAGAAACACACAACCTAGATCTTCACCTGAAATACACGACCGTCTCGGGTAGAGACAGAAACACACAACCTAGATCTTGCTCGAAGTTACAAAGCTTGCCTACTGACTGGGCTATCACTGCCCAAGATAATAGATAAATTAGAAACCTAGGTATTGTTGCACTGTTGTGAGATTGGTGTCCCACCTGTAGTACAAACGCAAGAGTAGGCTGTGCTTTGGAATTCAATTATTTGTCTCAACATATCAGGAGACGGGACTATCGAACCATTATAAATGTAATTATAACCCATTAGATACAGTATTGACCTTTCCGCAGTTCGATTTCCTGACAAGGATCCGACTGCTGGAAAGTGCATGCATCTATATTATAGAATAATGAAGTTATGGACTCACAAAGGAAAATCCCTCTGTGCTATTGTTTATTACGTATCAAATATTGACTCCGCGTGGCTATCATGGTGTCATCTTAAATAGCACTAAAAGCCTGTGTGTATTTTTACTGTTCGAGTGCACTACAGCTGAACCAAAAGAAAAAGTGAAAAAAGGAAATATTACAAAAAACTGAAAAAGAACTGGAAGATTTGGCCGTTTCACAAAAGGAAGTCTGTGTCGTATTATTGACAATACAGTCACTTTAGATGTAAGCCATATACAAGGACATTCTTTCGATTTCGGTCGGGGAAAATAACATTCATCCTTCAGATGTAGATGATATAAGGATAGTGCATTCATTATGTACTTGCATTAGCTGAGATAGTTCTTTTGTGTGTGTGTTTCCTTCGTCGAAATTCATCGACAAAATACAGACCTCTGAATATAGAACAATTGTGATGTACAACACTAATGTTGGATAAATGTGGAATGTTGCTTATAAGAAATGGTAAATTCAATGTAGGGAATTTGTGAAAATGCTTACGCGAACAACCTAATGAATAACTATCCCTTCTGGTTAAAATATGTGATCAAAACGATTAATATATTGTCTGTAGGTTTAGGACAACGATTCAATATTCATATACTTTAAATCACTTAGAGTACGCAAATACTTTATTTTGCGAGCCTACCTGTTCTGACACATTCGCTAATACATGATATCGGGAACGCTGATCTAGAAATGGCTTTAGATTCCGTGAATGACGATTTATGAGGTACGCGAACTCTTCAAGTCTCTGATATATCTTACTGAATCAACATGAATATCATATATAGTTGTTTTTGGCTCAAATAATACCGAGGGATTTGAATTCGCGATTGATTCTCCTCGCGTATTAACGCGAAAATAAATCCCACGCGAAATATAATTGAATTACAGTATCTTAAAATATGAGCACGACAAGGTTAATTTTGCCGTATATTTTGATACATCCTTTTAATAAGATAAAACTTAAAAAACATGAAATGTAGTTGGTAACCGAGCTCGGTATATTCAAAATTAATCAACACATAATTCTTCAAATGCCACAAGAAACATTTATATATAGAAGGAAATGTAAAATCCATTCAGAAAATTAAAACATAATGTAACATAAAGTGACATTAAGGAAATGACGCAAGGGAGTCTTTCCACCAAACTATTTTCAACCTTTAGAAACTGGAAATGATACGCTATATGACGTCACAGACCGGAAGATAAAGACGGATGAACATATTGGTAAATGCCAGTCGTGTATTGTTACACGGTAAGATTGAAGACAATAATGACGACAATCCGGGGTATATCGTTACCTCCACTTTCCGAACAAAAGACCATGTATAAAAGGATTCGTTTAGATACCTATAATGACTTTCAGCTATGTGAAGGAAAATACAGAGCAATCCTTGAGTGTTCGTTTCCAATTGCCCTTACACACCTGTGCCAATTCAGTCACTAATGAGACACGCGAGCGCATCACAGCTCCTATTTAGGTCAAGTCGAAACACATCAATCGTGTCGTTGATCAACAGGCGTCAAGAATAGTGGGACATTTAGCACGAGGAAATGAAAAGTACACGCGACTAAAAATCCGAATACATCACCATTGATTCTGCCCAAGCATCAGACCCGTATCTAGATTTATTATACATAAAGTACCAACACTGAGGGTACACGTAACAGAACACTGAGATTAGGCATTGCTAATTGACCAAATTAGTAAAATCCTTTTACAAAAAAACGGACTTAGAAAACGTGTTTCGACTGTTTTCCATCAAAGGGTTTTCTGAGACCAATAATCTGTCTTTTGTACAATTATCGCGATTGTAGAAATCCCGGGAGTTTGTTATAACCTGCATGCCACGTTTTAATTCCATTCTTGATTGACACGGTTTATGGTTTAGAATAGACACTTGCACTCGTTGTTCTTTAGAAACTCTTCAATGCTGAAATATCAGGAATTCACTCAACTAGTCCAATTCTCATTCGTGGTTTTTAAGTTCATTTCGAACATTTTGAATTTCCCATTTGTGTTTGTATGTCTCCTCCATATTATATCTGTGTTTGTATGTTTCCCCTGTCTCCTCTATATTATGTCTGTGTTTGTATGTATCTCCAGTCTCCTCCATATTATGTATGTGTTTGTATGTTTCCCCAGTCTCCTCCATCCTACGTGTGTGTTTGTATGTATCCCCAGTCTCCTCCATCCTGTGTGTGTGATTGTATGTTTCCCCAGTCTCCTCCATTATATATGTCTGTGTTTGTATGTATCCCCAGTCTCCTCCATCCTACGTGTGTGTTTGTATGTATCCCCAGTCTCCTCCATCCTGTGTGTGTGATTGTATGTTTCCCCAGTCTCCTCCATTCTATGTCTGTATGTATCCCCAGTCTTCTCCATACTATGTGTGCGTTTGTATGTTTCCCCTGTCTCCTCAATATTATGTGTGTGTTTGTATGTATCGCCAGTCTCCTCAATATTATGTCTGTGTTTGTATGTATCTCCAGTCTCCTCCATATTATGTCTGTGTTTGTATGTTTCCCCAGTCTCCTCCATCCTACGTGTGTGTTTGTATGTATCTCCTGTCTCCTCCATCCTGTGTGTGTGATTGTATGTTTCCCCTGTCTCCTCAATATTATGTCTGTGTTTGTATGTATCTCCAGTCTCCTCCATTCTATGTGTGTGTTTGTATGTATCCCCAGTCTTCTCCATACTATGTGTGCGTTTGTATGTTTCCCCTGTCTCCTCAATATTATGTCTGTGTTTGTATGTATCCCCAGTCTTCTCCATACTATGTGTGCGTTTGTATGTTTCCCCTGTCTCCTCAATATTATGTCTGTGTTTGTATGTATCTCCAGTCTCCTCCATATTATGTCTGTGTTTGTATGTTTCCCCAGTCTCCTCCATCCTACGTGTGTGTTTGTATGTGTCTCCAGTCTCCTCCATCCTGTGTGTATGATTGTATGTTTCTCCAGTCTCCTCCATCCTGTGTGTGTCTTTGTATCTGTCTCCAGTCTCCTCCATATTATGTCTGTGTTTGTATGTATCCCCAGTCTCCTCCATATTATGTCTGTGTTTGTATGTCTCCTCCATATTCTGTCTGTGTTTGTATGGTTCCCCAGTCTCCTCCATATTATGTCTGTGTTTGTATGTCTCCTCCATCCTATGTGTGTGTTTGTATGTATCCCCAGTCTCCTCCATCCTGTGTGTGTGATTGTATGTTTCTCCAGTCTCCTCCATCCTGTGTGTGTCTTTGTATCTGTCTCCAGTCTTCTCCATAGTATGTGTGTGTTTGTATATATCCCCAGTCTCCTCCATATTATGTCTGTGTTTGTATGTATCCCCAGTCTCCTCCATATTATGTCTGTGTTTGTATGTCTCCTCCATATTCTGTCTGTGTTTGTATGTATCCCCAGTCTCCTCCATCCTATGTGTGTGTTTGTATGTATCCCCAGTCTCCTCCATCCTACGAGTGTGATTGTATGTTTCCCCAGTCTCCTCCATTCTATGTCTGTGTTTGTATGTATCCCCAGTCTCCTCCATATTATGTCTGTGTTTGTATGTCTCCTCCATATTCTGTCTGTGTTTGTATGTTTCCCTAGTCTCCTCCATTCTATGTCTGTGTTTGTATGTATCCCCAGTCTTCTCCATACTATGTGTGTGTTTGTATGTTTCCCCTGTCTCCTCAATATTATGTCTGTGTTTGTATGTATCTCCAGTCTCCTCCATGTTATGTCTGTGTTTGTATGTATCACCAGTCTCCTCCATCCTACGTGTGTGTTTGTATGTATCCCCTGTCTCCTCCATCCTGTGTGTGTGATTGTATGTTTCCCCAGTCTCCTCCATTCTGTCTGTGTTTGTATGTATCCCCAGTCTTCTCCATACTATGTGTGTGTTTGTGTGTTTCCCCAGTCTCCTCCATCCTATGTGTATGTTTGTATGTGTCTCCAGTCTCCTCCATCCTATGTGTGTGTTTGTATGTTTCTCCAGTCTCCTTCATCCTTTCTGTGTGTTTGCATTTTTCCAAGTGTCCTCCCTCCTTTCTGTGTGTTTGTATGCTTCTCCTGTATCCTCCATCCTCGTGTGTGTTTGTATGTTTATCCTGTCTCCTTCATCCTATGTCTGTGTCCATCCTATGTCTGTGTTTGTATGTTTATCCTGTCTCCTCCATCCTATGTCTGTGTTTGTATGTATCTCCAGTCTCCTCCATGTTATGTCTGTGTTTGTATGTATCACCAGTCTCCTCCATCCTACGTGTGTGTTTGTATGTATCCCCTGTCTCCTCCATCCTGTGTGAGTGATTGTATGTTTCCCCAGTCTCCTCCATTCTGTCTGTGTTTGTATGTATCCCCAGTCTTCTCCATACTATGTGTGTGTTTGTATGTATCCCCAGTCTCCTCCATCCTATGTGTATGTTTGTATGTGTCTCCAGTCTCCTCCATCCTATGTGTGTGTTTGTATGTTTCTCCAGTCTCCTTCATCCTTTCTGTGTGTTTGCATTTTTCCCAGTGTCCTCCCTCCTTTCTGTGTGTTTGTATGCTTCTCCTGTATCCTCCATCCTCGTGTGTGTTTGTATGTTTATCCTGTCTCCTTCATCCTATGTCTGTGTCCATCCTATGTCTGTGTTTGTATGTTTATCCTGTCTCCTCCATCCTATGTCTGTGTTTGTATGTTTATCCTGTCTCCTCCATCCTATCTGTGTGTTTGTGTGTTTCTCCAGTCTCCTCCATCCTATGTCTGTGTTTTTGTGTTTCCCCAGTCTCCTCCATTCTATGTCTGTGTTTGTGTGTTTCTCCAGTCTCCTCCATCATATGTCTCTATTTGTATGTTTCCCCAGTCTCCTCCATCCTATGTCTGTGTTTGTGTGTTTCTCCAGTCTCCTCCATCCTATGTCTCTATTTGTATGTTTCCCCAGTCTCCTCCATCCTATGTCTGTGTTTGTGTGTTTCTCCAGTCTCCTCCATCCTATGTCTCTATTTGCATGTTTCCCCAGTCTCCTCCATCCTATGTCTGTGTTTGTATGTTTCCCAAGTCTCCTCCATCCTATGTCTGTGCTTGTGTATTTCCCCAGTCTCCTCCATCCTATGTCTGTGTTTGTGTGTTTCTCCAGTCTCCTCCATCCTATGTCTCTATTTGCATGTTTCCCCAGTCTCCTCCATCCTATGTCTGTGTTTGTATGTTTCCCAAGTCTCCTCCATCCTATGTCTGTGCTTGTGTATTTCCCCAGTCTCCTCCATCCTATGTCTCTATTTGTATGTTTCCCCAGTCTCCTCCATCCTATGTCTGTGTTTGTGTGTTTCTCCAGTCTCCTCCATCCTATGTCTCTATTTGTATGTTTCCCCAGTCTCCTCCATCCTATGTCTGTGTTTGTGTGTTTCTCCAGTCTCCTCCATCCTATGTCTCTATTTGCATGTTTCCCCAGTCTCCTCCATCCTATGTCTGTGTTTGTATGTTTCCCAAGTCTCCTCCATCCTATGTCTGTGCTTGTGTATTTCTCCAATCTCCTCCATCGTATGTCTGTGTTTGTGTGTTTCCCCAGTCTCCTCCATCCTATGTCTGTGTTTGTGTGTTTCTCCAGTCTCCTCCATCCTATGTCTCTATTTGTATGTTTCCCCAGTCTCCTCCATCCTATGTCTGTGTTTGTGTGTTTCTCCAGTCTCCTCCATCCTATGTCTGTGTTTGTGTGTTTCTCCAGTCTCCTCCATCCTATGTCTCTATTTGTATGTTTCCCCAGTCTCCTCCATATTATGTCTGTGTTTGTGTGTTTCCCCTTCATCCTTGGTCTTTGTTTCCTTCTGTGACAAAGTGATTGTGTCATTCCTATTGTTATATTTAACCTATATCAATCCAAATAGAAATCTCATCCTATACATTATCAAATCAAATAGTTTCAAAATGTTCTTCCAAAGAACAAACAAAATGCAATGAAATAAAAGAAACGAATAATAATACAAATACCAGCACGAAAAATGCTCTCAACATCATCACAAAAACAACCAACAAAAGAGAATGAAAATTACAGATTTATCTCGTTTTGTTGCAACATCATTATCTACGGAGAATTAAGATATGACAATAAAGATGAAAGAAAGAATATTAAAGCTGAAATTTGATTATGGCGCCTTGTAATCAGGCTTTGTATAGCAGAGCCCTGAGAATTACCAAGGCTGTACAACAGAGATGCTAATATTACTTTGGGACGTTTTTTGGCCATTTTCTTGCTATACCTATGTGTATAATTCAGTATACTTCAACACTGTGTTAAGAATTTCTAAAAAAAAAATTTCGAAATAATAAATCTTGGCGATCTTGTTTTTTTTCAAAATCATTGCAAGATTACAGAAAAGATACTCAGGTGCATAGCACCATTGTATATGGCGCAGCAGAGCCAAATAATGAATGAAACTGCATGATACAGCTCGTTCGTCCCTCCATGACTCGTAACTGATGTTAAGGGCCCATACTGTTTAAACCTTGAAGACTTGGGAAGATTTAAATTGATCGGAATATATACATAAATAAAAAAACCAGAATGGGAACGCTCTAAAATAAATATAATTTTCAGTATTGCATGATTATATGAAGGTGATGGGGAAGTTTTATAAATGTCATAATGGTTTCATTTGGGAAAATTCCATTTCCTTACGCGATAGGTTGTTGGACGTTCCTCATGCTCGTTGGTTTCGTTGTTTTATACCCTGTTCTCATTTAAGAACAGGACATTGCCTACTTGGATTGACAAAGGTTTACATGGCGGGTGTTGTCGATGAAGCAGAAGATGCTTACTCTTCCGGAACACCTGGTCTTATTAATCCCCTGCCAGTGAAACCGAAGGAAGGTTCTTGTTAATAGAAATAGATGTTTGGTTTCCAGATGATAAATTAAGTTGGAGATGACCGAAAAGGTTGAAACACGATACAATGTAGGGTTAATAGGAGACCTAGTGAGGGATTGTGTTTTCATAAGATCAACCAAGAAGGTCACTGTTGCTAAAAGTAAGTTTTTAGTTTCCAGATGACAATTTGCTTCAGAAATGCTAATTATTGCACGGAAGGGGATTTGTGTTGTCTGCAATTGTAAATATGCCCTCTTGGTTTCTGTTTCATGAGTCGCATTGTTGACATTTATTGAATTTGAGCTTGAAATCCGATTCCATTTATGTGTGAATACTTTCTTGGTTTATTCCAAAAGAACAAGTACATTTGTGTATTTTGATCCCTGAAAGCTATCTAATCAGGAACTCTATCTGTATACGATGGTGTGTTTTGATCCATTGAGTTGAATTTAGTCTGACTCTTATTGTGATTTCAAATCGTGAAGACAATACACTATTGTTATAATTTATATAAGACAGGCCAGTGTAACGATATATAACAACCTCATTGCCTTCCTGTAAGAGAATCTGACCTAATGTCTTCCACAACCAAATTTGTGAACAACTTGTCGAAGTGTGAAAATCGTTGAAGCAGGAGTATGGTTAACGGAAGTTATTAGCTGTCGGAGTACGGGTTATAACAACATGTCGCATCTAACATTGCTTAATTTGGGCCTAATAAGTTTCACACGTATGACGTTTATATAGAATGGCGGTGATGATGTCTCAAGGTGTCACTTAAGTGGTGTCTCATCTTGCCGATTTTAAATGTTACTACAGTGCTAAACATATCTAAACTAAGGATTTGTAGCAAGACATCACAATGAATAATTCATTTGGTTTCTGTTATAGGCCAAAGAGACCCTGAACGCCATCTAGCGGCAAGAGTGATATATCGTCTGCTTGGAGAGTGGTTTGGAGAGCTACAATTCAATACAAATCTTTACAAGGCGGGAAAGTCTTCGGTAGTTTATTGGCAAAATTGTTCGTTAGAGTCGATGGCTTCTATAACATGTACTGTTGACTGATGATAAACCTAACAGATATCGATGGAAGCTACTAATCCGGAAATCTCTATCCCCTGACACCGGCGTTGTTTCTGGAAGTTCAACAACATTGCTCAGATTGTCTGTATCTCTGCTGTCGCTGTGCCCACTGATTCAATTTAACAGTTACATTTGTGACGCGATAGCGGTACTGATTGTGTAAACACAAGTAGGATTTTTGGATTTTCGTTTAAATAGTTTGATTTTTTTTCTCTGGATGCTGTTCATTGAAACATTCGAGAACGTTGTTGGAAAGATTTTTTTTTCAACCATCTTCGTTATATCGGATGGAAATTTCGCAATGATACAGAATATTTCTTAAGGTTTTCAACATAAGAAAGTTCGGAAATAAACAGCCACGATTTATCACCCTATACCACCTAAACACTTATGGATTCTTAACGCCACCGAAAGGTAAGTGTAGTAATTACGAATATGTTAAATATAGTCTATGTTCTATTTCCAGCCTTTGGCGTTAAATGTTAACAGTAAATAATTTCCTGTTTTTCCTTTTTAACCCTTGCATATCTTTAACAAATCCTCTGTCTTACATTAAAATATGCGGCAGAACAAAGTGACAGAAACTGAGAACAATTAAAAGGTTGTATGACTAAAGGTACTAAGTATATGAAATTTTCTCCACAACGACCTCATTCTATGTTTTTTTTTAAAGAAGTGCAACCTTACTTAACAACAAATGTGAAACAAGTTCTTGAATCATTTTATTTACTCTTGATGGCCCCGGATGGAAGCGCGCGAAGGGTCTTGCTGTGAAGAAATCGGGTTCGCGAGGAAAACCAACGTTTTCGGATAGGTGACCTACACCTTTTCACGTGCGCGCTATAAATAAAACCCAGGCCCCTACATAAAAGGCGATTGCCACCCGAGCACCCCCAAATATCTTACCATTTCTATTTATCGCGACT